AACTAAACTGACTAACTATAAAATAAAACTTGCTAAAATGTGTTTATATAATAATTTAATGGTAACTAAATTGATATAAGTTTACTTTCCGATGGTACGATATCCCATGTTTTTTTTTATAATGAAAAGGAACATGGAATATGATCCTTTTATAATCTTTGTATATTAATTTTTGCATCCTTTTACCACGCAACTAGGCATATTTATGACAAGCAAATCTGTCCTGCGCGCGCACCACTGTCGACCGAGTCACGTTGGCCCTAAACTATCATTTTAGGGCCAGCGCACTGGTGCGATTTAGCTGCGCGGTCGGCCCGGTCCTTACGCTAGTAACATATAAGTCAATGAATGATACATATAAATATTGTCTACGTCAGAACAAATATGATATATATACCATATTATCAAATATTAAATATAAATAGTTATCATCTCTCAATCAAAATAAATCATACCTAAAAACATTTCAGCCCTTTTCTTTATAACTACAGGATTAGTTGATATCACAGGATCTTGCATTGGAGTAACTGGATCTGAAACATTAGTTAATTTTCTTTCAGCAACATGCTTCACTACTATAATTATTCCTATGCCTCTTTACTAGCTGTTCCCCCCGACTTCGTTCGCGTGCAATTTATTACGATTAGAAATTTTTGCGAATGACCGCAATTCTTTTTCTAAAATAAAAATAAAACTATGTTACTCCTTATAACATCAGCTATCTGCCAGTGAAAGTCCTGACAAAGTTGGTTCAGCCATTTCACAGATATAATTTTTTTTAAATCTTTATTTTCAAAAAAGTTGTTACACAGTGACTATGTCACCCCCCGTGATATACACACAAAAATATTAACAGAAAATAAGGTAATGAACACATAATAACATAGAAAGTAACAGAGCTACATAAAATAAAAATAAATTTAGCAACAAAAATAGATATTATGCAAAATCCTGTGTTATGTTTACCCTTATAAGTAAGTAAAGATTACATCTCGCTAAACTCACATTACATGTAAATAAAGTTTGATTAGCATTTTGGCCTCATGACAAAGTGGAGATGATAGGATAGCATTACATATGCCTACATTGTGATTGTTCAAAAATGTCATATCTTGCCTTTGAACCTCGTTCCGAGCACACTCCATCAAAACATGGTGCACATCTTCTACAGTATTACACTCCGAGCAATTAGGGGAGTCTGAAATTCCTATCAGAAATCGGAACTTATTTGACGGGATGTGCCCTGAGCGAAGTCTTAAGAGCGCAACAATATTTTTCCTGTTAATTTCATTTTTTTCAAACCATGGATAACGAGAAGGTTGACACTGAATGGTTTTGTACCATATTCCCTTACTAAGTGAGCGTTCATCAAAATACTCTTGCCTTAATTGTCTACAATTTACTTTATACTCACGTAACAGTTCGGTGTGTACTGGTAAAGTACTATATGTAATACCGTCACTAATAGCTCGGCTTGCAGCTCGATCAGCCTCCTCGTTACCCATGATGCCTGTATGAGAAGGTATCCATTGGAAGATTACCACCTTATTTAATGCACTAAGCTTACATATAGAATCTAGGATACTATAGGCTATCGGAAGTCCTCGAATACTCGAGAGCAGCCGAGCCAAATGTAACAGGGCGCTCTTAGAATCGGATAATATGACAAATTGATTGTAATTCAACGTTGTAACGTACGATAAAGCCTCGGATATCGCGATCAGTTCACAGTGCATTATAGAAACGTCAGCTTTTATTTTAAACCGTACACAGATGTCCATCTGCTGGTCAACAAAGGCTGCACCGCATCCCGTTTTGTCCTTTGATCCGTCTGTGTAAATCTTATAGTGTGTGTTGTACTTGTTATTTAGGAAGTTGCAACATATATTACGTATATTATCTATACCGACATGCCTCTTAGGGCGTTCCATTCCGTCTACTATAGTCTTAATATTATGAGATATTTCATATCTACTAATCCAATCGCTGAGAGAGTAAATCAATAGTTTGGAGTCAGAATGCATAGAAAGATTACAATATTTGTTATAAGTTTGAACCAGTAACAGGAACTTTCTTTCTCCTCCAGTATAAGCCCTGACACTGACTGTTTAGTTCTTCTAGAACGCGTGTTGTTATATTATTTTTGATTGACCTAGACTTAAACCAAATTTTTGCCGCAAAATATCTTCTACGGATGAACAGTGGCCGTAGGCACAGTTCACTTTCCATGATATGGATAGGGGTGCTTTTTATGAATCCGCCTATCACCTGCATCGCTTGATTCTGTACTTTATCTAGTTTGTATAAATGTGTTTTTACACTACTATCATGTAAGAAACAACTGTAGTTTAGTCTGCTTCTAATTAATGAAATATAAAGACGCCTTAAATGCATTGGGTGAACGCCCCATTTGGAGCCTGCTAACACTTTAAATATGTTTACAAACTTAAGTAGCTTTTCCCTCGTTTCATTTATGTGTCTACGCCATTTTAAATTTCTGTCCAGCCACACGCCTAAATATTTAACACTATCGACTCTTTTAATACGTTCGTTGTTGATGTTTAACGTAATATTACTACTGTTTGAGTTTCTCAAGTGTCCTCTTGTAAATACGCAAACTTTGGTTTTTCTGTGAGAAATGTTTAAACCGATATCTGTTATCATAGAGTTTAAAGCAACTAGCGCATCTTGAGTAACAGAAACTGCATCCGTTATATTTTTACGGCTAGTTTAAAGTACAAAATCATCAGCGTATTGAGATATAAATACTTGATTCAGATTTTTGCAGATATTGATAGTTGCTGCGTTAAATAATAATGGCGATAAGGGGTCACCTTGTGCTATACCGGTTCCTGTATATCTGCTTACACACTCTTCATTGCTTAGTTCGATATATAACCTTCGTGAGTGCAAATATTGGTAGAGGTAATTACATATTACGGTGCCTACTCCTAAATTATCTAGCGCACCTAAAAGACTTATGACATTGTTGTATGCGCCGTCGATATCAACAAAACACCCTACAGTAGCGTCTCCGTTACCAAAGCCACTCTGTATTCGTGACACTAACCTAGTCAAATTGTCCAGGCAAAAAAAATTCTAAAGCCTACTGTTTCATCTGGTAAACAATTATTTTTTTCAAGGTAACATTCCATCTGCGCGTAATAATTGTATGAAAAATCTTGCATGGACAAGACAAAAGGGCTATAGGCCTAATATCTGAATTTGTGTTATTGCTAATTTTCGGTTTCGGTATAGGCATTATTTTTACATATCTCCGTTGTCTTGGTACAAAGCTTGAAAGCAAAAATCTGTTGTATAAAGATACGAGCACAATTTTAGCAGCGTTCGGGAGGTTCTTGATCATTGAGTATGAAATGTCGCCTGCGCCAGGTGCAGTATCGGACTGTTTAATTGTGTTTGCGAAATCATGAACCGAAACAGATAAAGATAGATGTACGTTGTCGCTATTAAACACAGGAGCCGGTGGATCTGCATAATCAGGTGCTAAACTACACAGTAAGGAATCAGCTGACTCGCGGGTAATAGTACTTCTCGCTGTCCTGCACCCCTTCAGCCACTTCATTTTAGCCCACATTTCACTTGAAGTTGACACACTGCCAATGCTGTCACAGAAACCTTGCCATGACCTATTTTTGCTACTACAAATATTTTTTTGTGCCAACCTGACCTTGTTTTGTAATGCTTCTAAATTTACTGGTGTAGGGTTTCTCCTAAAAACAGCAAGTGCCCGACGTCGTTCCGCTACAGCTTTTGAAATATCCGGATTCCAATATGGTCTAGAAGTGAACCTTTGTTGGTGAAGAGGATTTTCACATATTTTTATAAACGGGATACACTTATCAGCTGCCTCGTTAATAATCTCGATGAAAGCGTCGTACGCAGACTGGTGATCACCTGGTAATATAAAGCCTTCAAGCTTTCTCTCTATGTGTGTCTTATACTGCAACCAGTCAGCCTTTTTAAAATTGCGTTTTCTTTTATAGATATTGGATTTCATCTTAATCATTAAATGGTCACTTCCCAAATTTTCATTTAGTACTATCCAGTCGAACTTCAAAGCTATATCCAGAGAAGCTAGAGATAGGTCAGGGGCAGATTTTTGTACTATGCTGTTAACCAGTTTAATTCTAGTATGTGAGCCGTCATTCAGTGGAACAAAATTGTTGTCTAAAATGGAATCCAAAATTTGATCACCTCGTGAGTCCGTTCTAGTTGACCAGTTGGTGTGGTGGCTATTAAGATCTCCCGCAATTATTGTCTTTCGTCTGGCAAGATTGAAGATTTGGTCCCAGTCTCTCAAGGTGGTTAGGAGCGGATGGTGGGCAGTATAAGGAGTATACATTTTCTATATGTTTACAATTTAAAATTCTAATATGGAGGGTCTCAATTTGTGAATTTAGCAGTTCAACATTATGTTTTTGTGCCTTAATTGACCTGTGAGTCAATATAGCTACGCCTCCAAATCCGTCAGCATGATCCGTTCTAAAGACCTTATAGTGGCTAATGTGAAAGTGACTACCCGGGTCTAACCAAGTTTCGCTTATAATAGCAATGTGTATTTTTTCTTGAGTTAATAGAACTTCTAACTCTGTACATTTAGTTTGAATGCTCTGCGCATTCCATTGTAGCACATTTACGTAGGTTTATGAGTTGTTGTTATCCATAATTGTTTTACGAAATTGCAACAAGGCTGATCAGCAATAAACTACAACACTAATGATATTAACGACTCCAATATTATATTTCCACAGCCTTTTATCTTGTCTTCCCACGAGCTACTTTCCTCTTCCAATATCTTCTCTTCTAATTTTTTAAAAAATAATTTCCAAGACAATTGTTCTTTATTTTTCGATCGATTCTCATCAATTAGCTTGTCGTCCATTCTGTTTTCTTCTTCACTAACTTCGGTAAAAAATTCAGGTATATTTTGTTCCTGTTCTTTGTGGGCCCTCCTTCTATCCCGTCGTTTCTCTGACTTAGAGCTTTTTCTCGTTTCTTCTGGGGGGTGTTTTCGTAACACTAGTGTAGGTATACACATCACTAGTCCCGGGAATCTGCTTATCTTGTTGTGGTGATTCATTTTCAGATGTAGGTTGTGTAAGTAGAGGTGGGTCATTTTTCGTAATCGGTGGTCGAGGTGACGGCGGGACATACAGCATAAGGTCTTTTTTGTAGGAACAGTTAAATTCCGCCATGAGTTCTCTAATTCGTTTCTTTTTCAAGAAAACAGGGCAAATTTTAGCCATTGCCACGTGTTTTCCCATACAGTTATTAACATTTGAAAGTTGTGGTTTCACAGTTAGAATGACTTTTTGTACATTTAGGACAAATTACTTTTAGAGAAGGGCACATTCTAATCGAGTGACCAAATCGCCAGCAACGGGAGCATTGCGTCACTGGGTATGTGTAAAGACTCACTTTTACCCTAGTGTCATAGATGTAAACAAACGACGGTAATGACGATCCCTTAAAACATATTCTTACAGACTCGCTATGTTCCCAATGACTGTCATAAGTGTTCTTTCGCTTTAGTCTTTTTACTGCTAAAATTAAAGTTTCACTTTTAAGTCCCAGTAATATCTCTTCTTCGCTCAATTCTAGATCAATATCTTTTATGACCCCATATGATTGACTAATTTCTAAAGTTTTTTGGCATTTAAAACCATTCTCGTTAAATCTCTTGCACTGTACAAAAGATTCAGCACTTTCTTCGCTATTAAAATGAATCAATACTTTAAATGCATTTATGTACTTAATTTTCGTGACGTTTTTAATACTTTCTGCTTTTAACATTTTTGCCAATCTAAATTGTTTCGGAAGTTTATCTGTGCATGTCAAACATACTTCAATTTTATCCTCCGTAATTCTCGTAAGTACATTATCCTCTGTACATTCATTATATCTATTTGCCTTTTGCTTTTTTGAGGATCTCCCTAAGAACATGTCATTCATATCTTCCGTACTACCCATCTGTGAAATATCCTCCATGATCACTATAATCTCCCTTTCATTGCTTTCGTTAAATACACTACTTTCCACATCAATCTCACTTTGCACATAATTCAACATAGTGTTACTACTCATAATTAAATGACCTTACTGTTAACATGGTCTACATTCTACAAAAGCGCACTGACGTGCGGAGCGCGTTGCTAAAACTAGCGACAGTACGTAATCGAACGTTAGATCAACGCGTCAAGCTACAGCGAGCGCTCACGCGCGCAACTGACATAAAAATTTTAAAAATTGTTTTTTGTTTTACAATATTTTATACAGCTGCTGTGCCACGAAAAAGTCGGCAAAATTAATGTAAAAATTATCGGCATATGTACGTTATACAGCAAAGTTAAATTTTATCCACTCTCTCTCTCCCCCTCCCGGATGAACGCCCCAGAAAGTGCCCCAAAACGGGTTTTATTTTTCAGTTTTAAGGATAACTGTACATGGTACATGAAAAGTGTGCAGGTACGAAATGATCTTTGATGAATTTTCCATCAACCTTTTATGCATACGAAAGCGATATCATTTATAGTTTTTGCGCAATCTGCCAGAAAATATGAACATTTCTTATCTTTAATCGTTTTTTTTTGCTCAAAGTTTAGGTTTATCAAAATTACAAACTTTACCGCCAAAATATGTATGACTAAAGTAAAAAGAGGTACCTAAAAATTATTTCTTAACTCTTTCATTATGATAAAACTATTTATTTGAATAAGAATTAATACTACGATACGACTATAACCGACTTTTGTGTCGACCGGTGATCTAATTAAATTTTAGAACACAAAAGCTACTATTGTGACTTAATTATGATAGTTAGATATATTCCTTACGCGGACTTTTTTGTAGGTAATAATGAGTACTTTAATCATGTAGCACATAATTTTTATGTTATATAATAGTTTCCGCAGCGTATGCGATATAAGGATTTTTTTATACATTTAAATTCAATTAAAAATTAAAGTGCAGATGCGTTGTCACCCCTGAAGACTACGATAGAATACCTCATTTCCAGTAAAACCTAAGCACCATACAAAACTCACCCGCACTAAGCAGCGTGGCTCTACCACATATAGGTTATAAGAACTTTATTAAAACATAGAATTATAATTACAATTATAGAAACACGTTAAATATATACAGAGCAATTCAAAATTTTTTTCATTATAAAAAAGTTTATATTTTATGTTCAATAAATGGAAACTGTTAAAAAATGGCATCATAAGCCATACTAACCAAAATTTTCTTTGTTAGAAGTATTTTCTTCCATTCTTGTGTATAATCGATGTACCGAACATTCAGAGTAATGACCTGAAATGAAATTCATAATTCAATATCAAAAGAAGAAAAGGAAAGATTTAAAGAAATAACCAAAATGAATATATCTCTGGAGGTTAGGGGAAATGGGTGTTTCTCAGTGGATTGAAGTGTAGGTCCCACGACAATTTAGTGTTAAGTTTAGAGTATGTTTCCTCTCATTAACATCTTTACCAACATTACATGGCAACCCTGCCAGAAAATGCGCTGCGACAATGCAAGTGCACTGTCACGGTCTGCATAATTATTAAACTGTTAAATAAAAAAAATAATTTAACTGTAATTTACTGGAATTGACACAATTATACTGGATATGATGAAAAGGAAAATTAAATGCGCATATAAATATGCCCTTTTCTTAAATATTTAATATTACATACTTTGGATCTGTCTGTTGGAATTTTTTTTTATAGAATAGGACTGTGTGCTCGTTTGTCATTATTTTTATATAATAATGACAAACGAGCACACAGTCCACCTGATGGTAAGTGGTTGCTGCGGCCCATAGACATCTACATCTATCTTCCATTACAAATCAAAATGCAGATGCGTTGTCACCCGTGAGGACTGAGATGGAATGCCTCATTTTCAGTAAAAAGGGTCTCCGGTTCTCTACACTCACCATACGAAATACAGCAGCATTAAGCTACTATTTCACGCTGGTATTCTGTGAGAGCGTGGTCCTTCCCCGGTCGAGCCGACCCATTCGTGCTACAACTATACTACTAATATAACTGCAGCATGGCTCTTTGCCGTGTAGTGGCGGTTAAGAATATCCACTACCCCATATCTTCCCGTGGGTGTCGTAAAAGGCGACAGAGGGAGACAGGCAGGAGATGGGCAGCAGCATCTTCCTGATAACAGCAACTGTACGATAAAAAAAAACTGCGGTTGCCAACCCGCTCGCCAAGCGTGGCAACTATGGCAATATACCCCCCCATGAACAATTACACAAATAGACGGCCCCCAGTCCCCGGCGGCTCCGCTATTCCTGGCTACGGTGGCGACCATGGTAACGGTGGGGCAGGGGGTGCTAAGAATCTCCGGTGGAGGTTCGGTTGCCACCTACGACGACTCGACCTGGCAACTGGGACTGACGAGAAGATCCTGGAGCTGGAAGAAGAGATAGACAAGTTGCGCTGGAGTATTATAGGATTATCCGAGGTCCGAAGAGAGGGGGAGGACACGGTGATTCTCGAATCCGGCAACTTGTTCTATCACCGGGAGGGCGACCATCTGTCCCAAGGAGGTGTCGGATTTATCGTCCACAAGTCTCTCGTCAACAACGTTGTAAAGATTGGGAGTGTGTCGACGAGGGTCGCGTACCTGATACTCAGAATCACCAAACGGTATTCGCTGAAGGTCATACAGGTTTACGCACCAACCTCGGCACATTCCGATGAGGAGGTGGAGGAAATGTATGAGGATATTTCCAAAGCCATGCATTCCTCCAAAACCCACTACACGGTGTTGATGGGAGACTTCAACGCAAAACTAGGCACAAGAGAAAACGGTGAGCTGAAGTTAGGGAAATTTGGAATAGGGCAACGGAACCGAAGGGGCCAGCAGCTGGCCGACTTTATGGAGAAAGAGGGACTCTTTATGATGAACTCTTTCTTCCAGAAGCGGCCCCACAGGAAGTGGACCTGGTCGAGCCCCGACGGTTCGACAAAAAATGAGATTGACTTCATTATGACGACCAGACGCCAACTGTTCAGTGATGTCTCAGTGATCGCAAGGGTGAAAACTGGCAGCGATCACCGAATGGTTAGAGGCACACTGAACCTAAACGTTAAGTTGGAGAGGTCTCGTCTAATGAAGTCAACGCTCCGTCCCCCCTCGTGCTCTAATCCAGAATCCCGAAAACTTTCAGCTCGAGTTACACAACCGCTTTCAGTGCCTACAAGATTGCAATGCAGTGGACGATATGAATGACAAGCTCGTGGAAACTGTCCATGCGGTCGGAGCTAAGTTCTGCAAGACCCGCCGCAGAAGAACACAAAAACTCTCCGATCACACTCTTAATCTCATGGCTGTTAGACGGGAGATGAGGCTGCAATCGTCAACAGATTTGACAGCATACAGGCAACTGAACAGACAGATCTCCAAATGCATGTGGCGAGACTTACGCAACTTTAATACTTCTCGTATTAAAGAAGCGATCGAGCGGAACCAGGGCTCCAAAGTCTTTGCCAGAGATCTGTCTGCCAGAAAGAGCCAACTGTCAAGGCTGAAGACTGAGTGTGGCAACATCGTTTCCGGGACACCTGAGATTCTGAGTGAGATTGAGAGGTTCTATGGGCAGCTGTACACATCATCGTTGGAGCCACACTCAAGTGTGAGTAACGATCCAAGAGCAAGTCTTATCCGACACTATTCCGATGATATCCCGGACGTCAGTCTGAGCGAGATTAGAATGGCTCTCCAACAGCTTAAAAACGGCAAGGCCCCGGGCGAGGATGGAATTACAGCGGAGCTTCTGAAAGCGGGTGGAACACCGGTACTTGAAGTCCTTCAGAAGCTCTTCAATTCCGTCCTCCATGGTGGCACCACTCCAGAGGCGTGGAGCAGAAGTGCGGTGGTCTTGTTCTTTAAGAAAGGCGACAACGCTCTCTTGAAGAACTACAGACCGATTTCCCTTCTGAGCCGCGTCTACGTGCTGTTTTCGAGAGTCATTACGAATCGTCTCGCAAGCAGACTCGACGACTTCCAGCCTCCTGAACAAGCCGCTTTCCGAAAAGGCTTCAGTACCATAGACCACATACATACCCTGCGGCAGATTGTACAGAAGACTGACGAGTACAATTTGCCACTTTGCCTGGCGTATGTGGACTATGAGAAAGCCTTTGATTCCGTCGAAATTTGGGCGGTGCTGCAGTCCCTTCAGCGGTGCCAATTTGACTGTCGGTATATCGAAGTGCTGAAGTGTTTGTACAGTAGGGCTACG